ACCAGCGAATGGGCTTGAGCTGGAAATCCTTGGGCGAGATTCTCTGGGTTGCAAGGAACACGGGGGCAGACCACATCACCAGTACCCTCCACCCGGGCTTAAAGTCCAGGGCTGTTCATAACTTCGTGTTCGGCAAGAGGCCACGTGCTCCTGGCTGATCCCAGAGAGCCGTGCTCGCGGGCTGGCTCCATCGCCGGGTCCTTTTTTATCCTTTTTTACTTCTTTTTTGGTAGTTCACTTCTGTCAGAGAAGGATGTCGGTGTTAGGAAAGGGACAGAGTTGGACTCAGCCCAGATTGGGACTGGGATTGTGCCTGGAACACGCTCCCAGTTTGCCCCTGCGCTACGGCAGTGAGAGGTTGTGGTTAAAAGGCGGCTCTGTACTCCCAGCTTTTTCACCTCAAATTCAAATATTATTTTTCAAGCGTGACTTACGGAAGGACAAAGAGGAAAGGGGGGAGAGAAAGGGAGACGGGGAGGGAGAGAGGAAGACGCATGCAAACACGCTCAGACAAAGGAGAGAGAAATCCCACACCATTCCAGTTGGAATGTCCCAGACACTTCAGCCGAAAGCCACCGCACCGCACAAATCCATGGTGGTATTTGGAAGGGATGAGCCCACCCCTGTAAGCCTCTTCATCCTGCTCCACAGAGTTTGCCAGGAGGATTAACCCAGTCTTGTTCTCAATCCCAGTTTATGAGTTCCCTGCTGGTGGGGAAGATCCTGTGTGTTTAAACAACAGCCTAATTAATCCCTATTTTATTACTTTCTCTTGTCAAGTGGCTAAATAGAAGCTGTCAGCCGGCAGCCACCGCCGCTCACATTTGTTTAGATCCCAAATTACTTCATCAGAACCATCTGCTCCGTACGCGGGGCGCTCAGCAGTTGTTTATTTCTCTCGCTGGACACGGTATGGGGCACAAACAGCCTCCCCCGTGGGACTCCCTTGCCTACGGCTCCTACAAGCCCTGGGGACAGGCCCGGCGGGGTCCGTGAAGTCCTCTCCCTAGGAGCGACCCAACCAAGCCAGGCAGTGAACAGCCCTAGAGAGGAGGAGGGGAGATAAAGCTCTGTTGGGTCAGGCAGGTTTGTGTTCCTCCCTGGGGGTATGGGAGGTCAGAAAGCCCCCAAAACCAGAGCTGGGATGCACGCTTCTTGCTGGGATGTGCCAGCACAGCTCCCAACATCCACTCCCTTCTCCCCTTTGGCTTCCCAAGCCCCAAACCCGGGCTGATCTTCCCCGCCCAAGTGTCTTAACCACCAGGACCTTCTTTGCAGGCTGTTCCAGACCAAATGCAGCAGTTGCTTGAAGGCCATCGCCCCCTCCGAGCTCATCATGCGGGTGCTGGAGAACGTCTACCACGTTCACTGCTTCTACTGCTGCGAGTGCGAGCGGCGCCTGCAGCGGGGAGACGAGTTTGTTCTCAAGGAGGGGCAGCTGCTCTGCCGCAGCGACTACGAGAAGGAGAAGGAGATGCTGAGCGCTATCAGCCCGGCACCCACTGAGTCCGGTGAGGGGCCGGGGTGGGAGCGGTGCTGAGGGTTGGGGAACCAGGGTGAACCTTGTAGAGGACCGGTACCGCCTGGTCCCTAATTAATGATAGGGAGGGCTTCGGAGGGAGGAGATGGAGGTGGGTGGAGGTTGTGGCGTCTTCTCCCCTTGGCGATAGGCAGCCGAGGGGGTCCCAGGCTGCTGAGATCGACCGGGCTGAGCTGGAGAGGTTTGGGTGGGCTGCTCGGAGGCGTTACAGAAGGGACGATCCAGGGCCAGGGTGGCCCAGTGGCTTTGTCTCTGAATTGGCAGCGTTCCCCCGAGCCACAGCGCAGTCCACGAGCTTCGCTGGCTTCGTTCTGCGCTTCTGCTCTACATCGCCCCTCGGAAGGAGCAAAACTCTTGACCAAAAGTTTCCTTGAACCCTGGGAGATGGCTCCGCCAGGCCGCTCTCTGCTGAATCACCGCTCCTGATCTTCCGTTGCAGTGAAAAGCGAGGACGAAGACGGCAGCCACTCGCACGGCAAAGGCAGCGAGGAGAGCAAAGACCACAAACGCTCCAAGCGCCCGCGCACCATCCTTACCACGCAGCAGCGCCGGGCATTCAAGGCCTCGTTTGAGGTTTCCTCGAAACCTTGCAGAAAGGTATAAGGAGGCCACTCAGCACACAATTGCTGGCTTGGATCCTTTTGTAGTGCGATTTAAAAAGTTCTGATTCAGCTCTCCGGGTTTTGTGGACAGGTAAGAGAGACCCTGGCAGCCGAGACGGGCTTGACCGTGCGGGTGGTACAGGTCTGGTTCCAGAACCAAAGAGCCAAGGTGAGTGATGGTCCCTGTGCCGTGGCCGGGTTCTGCGGGACTTGTGGGACGCCATGCAGGCTTGTTGTGTTAAAAGGGAACGTAGAATAGCTGAGAAAAAAAGAGAACACAGTTAGAGGAACAGCAGAGCAGCTAGGCAAGAGCATCCATGGGCCCACCGAGTCCTACGACACCTATCTAGTAGCAGCAAAAGCTCAAGGAGAAATAAGAAAATGGATTAATTATAGATGGTTGCAGGGCTTAACATTTCTCACGTTGGGTTTTTTTTTTCCCGATTACTCTTTTTCTGCTTGCTTCTTCCCCCTCACTATAGAAAGACTGGAAGGATTTCCCACTTCTTTCACCCAGAAGTTGAAACGTTTCCAATTTTGCCAAATTGAAAGGGTGAAAAGGGGAAAGAGGTGGCTTTGAGAACCTCGCTTTGCAGTAAAATGAAGTCCTTCTCATTTTTTGAAACTGCAGACGGCATCTCCCACCTCTTCTGCCAGCCCCATCTCTCCCGCGGGGCCGACTGCTGCAGAGAACGTTGGCGGCAGGGGCTTCACCCAGGAGCCCGAGCAGGGCTCTGTCACGGCAGCGGGTGCATTAAACGCACCCCACGCCCCTCCTCTCGCCGTCAGGACCCTAAATCCAGGGTCTCCATCTCCTTGCAGATGAAGAAGATCGCTCGCAGGCAACAACAGCAGCAGCAGCAGCAGCAGGAGCAGGACCAGCTGGGCAACCCTCGCTTAGGGACCGGGCGAGGGACCGGTCGCAACAGCAGGCAGAGCAACGACGATAGCGAAGGTGAGGAAGCCGCCGCGCAGGGCGACAGCTCCGGGGGCTGCGGGCTGGGATGGAGGGGATAGGCCTGGATGCGTTTGAGAGCGAATGCGCGCGGGGGGAGATGAGCAAAAAAGCGTGCAGGTTGTAGGTGAATCGGTACGGGATAACGAGGTCACAACCAGCAAGGCTCGTGGGCGCTCGCGGCGCGGCACCTATCTCCTTGTTTTGAGAAGACAACGGGGTTGGTTTGTTCCCTGCTGCACGTTCACAGCGCTGGTCCGGGGTCGGACCACCAAATATTCCTGCAGCAATGCAAATAATGTTCTTGTGACGGTGCTGCGTGCTGGCACCCTTTGATTCAACCCATTCCCCCCCCGGGTTGTGTCTTTAGATGGCGCGGCACCTATCTCCTCATTTTGAAAAGACAACGGGGTTGGTTTGTTCCCTGCTGCATGTTCACAGTGCTGGTCCGGAGTCGGACCACCAAATATTCCTGCAGCAATGCAAATAATGTTCTTGCGCCGGTGCTGCGTGCTGGGCACCCTTTGATTCAATCCATTCTCTCCCCCTGGTTGTTTCTTTAGACGGCGCAAGCGTTCACGGCCTGGATGGGCTCATGGTTCCCTACCCCAGGATCCCCCAGCAGCAGCTTCTGCCCCTGGATCAGAACGGCTACAGCACAGATTTGTACAGACAAGGGCTGACGCCGCCCCAGCTGCCAGGAGATCATCTGCACCCCTACGGTAGGAGAGCAGTGTGGAGATCGTGCTGCCTCTGCATCAAAGCTTCATTTCTCAACGAAAGGGTTGTCCAGCGCTGGAAGGGGCTGCCCAGGGAAGGGGTCGAGTCCCCAGCCCGGGGGGGATTTAAAAGCCGGGCAGAGGCAGTGCTGAGGGCCGGGGTTTGGGGGTGGGATGGCAGGGGTAGGGGAACAGTTGGGCTTGAGGACCTTAAAGGTCCTTTCCAACCCAAACGATTCCATGATTCCAAGCTGCACAGAGCAGTCCAAGTCATGAAGAAGCCAACTTCGCTGCGACCGCTGACGAAGCCGGCAGCAGCGAGCGCTCCGCGGGACTCAGACTTTGCACAGAGCCTTTCTCAGAGGAGGTTTGGTGGCTGCGCTCTGCAAGTCAGGCTGGGGTTTTACCTCCATCCAACGTGAAATGTTTGGGTGAGGGAGGAAAGAGTTATGCCTAAAGCTGGTCCTGGGCATACCTGCTCAAGGCGACCATGGCTCCGGGGGAAACACGGCCCTGCAGGCAGCCTTTTTTCTGCACTGCGAGACGCACTCATGCCACATTCACGCCTCTTCCTTCCTCTTCTAGACTCGGAAGGAGTTTTTCACGACATGGACAGTGACAGCATCAGCCACCTGGGAGACTGCCTGCTGTCAACGGCTGAAGCCAACCTCCTCCAAGCCCGCGTGGGCAACCCCATCGACCGACTCTACTCCATGCAGAGCTCCTACTTCACATCCTGACCATAGAAAAGCTCCCGACTCTTCACGAGTATCTCGGATGGATGCTGCTTCACATTCAGAGGAGGGTGAGGGAGAAGAAACCAGGCTGAGACCCTTCAGAGACGTTCCTCGAGCACTGCACGACGGAGGAGGCAGCTACGGCCGCCGCACATATAAGCACTACTTCACGGAGACCTTTCACGCCTGAAGGACTTTGGATCGCCTCGCTCCTTTTTTTCTAGCCACGAGTAGATCGATGCTATGATGTTGTTTAGCTGTAACTTTAGCAGTTTGTCCAGTGTTTAAGCTTTTGAGCGTTATGTCCTGCAAACAAAGACTGGCCAAGCTCACCGGAGCCGCCCCTGGAAGTAGGAGGTGCCCTTCTCACAAGAACTGCATTTATTTAAGCCTTGGTTGCAGCCGAGCCGCTTGCTGTGCTGCTTTGCCTCATTTCCCCACCCAGACGCAGGCTTCATGGGACAAGGTTAATTTTCCACGGGAAAATCCAAGGTCCTGAGACAACTCTAAAGGATGCCACTGCTGCTTCAGAGACTTCCTTCATGGGTGTCCGTCAGTCGGACCAGGACAGGGTTTTTTTTAACGTTTGACATTTCAGAAATGCACAGGAGTTTGCCTCCCTCCCCGCCCCCCCCGACTGAAACGGCTGCGCTCGGGCGCCTGCTTCAAGAAACAACACAATATTTATCCTCTGTCACGTTCGAGGATGCCAAGAGGAGTGTAACACCCCTGCAGTGAGTTCTCCATCGCCCTTGTGTCCGTCTGTCTGTCCCAAAAGGGGCACCTTTACTCCCTGTATGGACAGAACAAAGACTTATTCTCACAAAACCACCGCTGCCGGCCACGCTGCTTTCTGTTTGTTTCTTTTTTTGAAGCACAGTGAAATGGTTTTACTCTAAAATAGAAAGTCCTTCCTCTGCAGCTCTGTCCACGGAGGGGTTTCCCCACCCTGACTCCGCTCCCGGTTCACCCAAAGCATCCTGGCTCCTCCCGACGAGTGGCGAGAGGAAGAAACGGGATCGTGTTATCCTACAAGGCGCCCCTGCCAAGTCCCTGAATTCCCAGAGGCCACATTCGGTTTTCGCTTCAAGGGCAACCCAGGGGCAACCTCAGGACTCAGCCAAGAGCAAAGCACGTCTGCGTTGCGGACTGAAAGGAAAAATCCACTTTCTCGAGCCACGCCACCAGGCAGGCGAGTTACAAAGGCACTGCGTACCCACAAAAAGGGCAGGAAAGAGAGAGCGGAGAATGGAAGCCTGAATTATTACCAAAGGGAAATTCTTTATTCTCCTGCTTGAGACCCAAGGCTGGGATTTCATTCTTTAGATACGTGAAGGACAGCCGGTATTCCTGGAAAGGTCAGGTTTTCCCATGAGCCTGCTTACAGCACGCCAGCCGAAGGCACACGGTCCTCCCGAACCAACCTTCCCTTCTCTATTTGAACTGGCAGACGACTCCAGAAGGAAATAACGACTTATTTTTAAACCTTGGATCTGCGGAGTTGCGAGCCTAAGCGCCGCACCCCGCAAACCTGGCGGCCTGACGGTTTCTGGACGTGGTGTGTTACCCCTGAGCCTCCGCAGGCTTGTCGGTCTGATTTTCAAGGTGTGTAGCCTCTCAAATGAGGGGGGGAAAAAAAAAAAAAAGAATGGGTAATTTTTGTTGTCTGCGGTTAGGGAGGAAGATTCCCAGGAACGGCGTAATCCTGGATTTGGGGAGGAAAGGAGATGCAGTCCTGATGCGGTTTTGCTTTTTATCAGGATTTATCGCCTTCTCAACCCGCTCGCAGGGAGCTGACGTAACGGATGACGCGTAACAGAACCACAGCCCTTATAGAGATCGCTCCGCCGTTGCTTCTCCTTTAATAAAGCTGTGTGAACGTGACACGTGCTGATGTGCAGTCACTTCCCGTGGTGTTTCCAGCACCAGGTTCCGTAGCTGGACTCGCCTTTGCTTTCGGTATCCGTCTCTCCCCCGAAGGCGGTTGTGTACGTAGCTTACAGACACGCCGGCACTTCTTTTGAGGAGGGAAGGGGGAGCCTTTCGCAGGAACAGCTATTTAGGACAAACGTTTGCCCAGATAGGACAAGTTCTAGACCAAGCTGCTGCAGTTGGGTGACTTCCACCTTTGTCGGGCGGTCATCCGGCCCTAAGAAACGGAAAAAAACTCCTAAAGCCGTATGTTACTTTTTAGAGGCTCTTGCACTGGAGACCGTCTCAGTTTAGATGAAGTTTTAAGCGAATGTAACAGTGAACCATGTAAAAATTGATGTTTCTCCCAAATACCAGAGCCAGCTTCGCCCGTCGAACCCCCGCCCTCTCTTCCTTGTGATCTAAGTGCTGTTGATGTGCCGATGTTTGGGGTTTTGGGGGTTCTTTTTTTGCATGGACGTTCGAAAAAAAAAAAAAAAAAAAAAAAAAAAAAAGAAAAAAAGCAAACTCTAAGTGGAAATCTGAAGCTTGCCTCAGCGCAGGCAGAACAAACTGCACGCACGAGCGGTCTGCTGGCTCCCTGCAGTCCCACGAAGGTTGCCCTGGGCTCCCCAGGAGGACGGCCCATCCGTTCCCTTTCCCAGGAATCATAGAATCATAGAATGTTTTGGGTTGGAAGGGACCCCTAGAGGTCATCTCGTCCAACCCCCCTGCAGGAGCAGGGACACCTTGAACCAGAGCAGGTTGCCCACAGCCCCGGCCAACCTGGCCTTGGATGTTCCCAGGGATGGGGCCTCCACCACCGCCCTGGGCAACCCCTCCCGCTCTTTCCCACCCTCATCCTAAAGAATTTCCCTCCTCCTCCCCTCGCAGTCGTTCTCGGCGGCTGCGC